ACATCAGGTCCTCCAGGGTAGCCCGCACCTCGCGCGCCCGCACCTCCTCCATACGGTGGTACAGCACCATGTCGCCGGACGACAGGCCGCCACCAGGACCCTGGGCGCCCGCCTCGTCGCCCGCAACCTCCGGGTGCGGCGTCACCGCGCCTGGCGGCGGGGGTGCAGCGGCGGCCGCGTCGGGGCCTGCGGCAGCCGCGCCCGCCTTGGCGTCGCGCTCCTCCTTGAGACGCTGCAGCTGCTGCTCCACCGCGGTACTGAACAGCTGTGGCTGCATCTTGAGGTAGTACTGCAGCATCTCACCATACGGCGTCTTGGGCTTGGCGGGCGCCTGCGGATGCAGCGCCGCGAGGCGTGCGCAATGGCTTCAATTATTCAACTGCAGAGTCACCACGGTTGCAACGTGCGTGCTCAAGAAGCATATGCATGCTACGCCGCAGCCGCATTGGGCCATGCTAGTGATTAGACAGCGCATTGCACTGGCGCAGAGCGGCTTGCGCAACCAGCGGAGCGCAGCGCGCCACTACCTGTGCGCATGCATGCAGCTGACAGGAGGTTTGGCACAGCACAGAGCACGCGTGAGACAACATGACATCACTCACCAAACCATACTCCTGCCCCTCGTTGCCGGCCTCCGCGCGAACGACGACCTTTCTCGACATGCGAGGCGTCACCGTGCCCCGCGCGACGGGCAGCCCACGGTGCTGCTTGTTAGCACACCCATGGATGAGAGGGCGCGATGCAATCATGCTTAGACCGCGCGCTGACAGGTTTGAAGGTTGTGCCAAGAAAGCAAGGTGTGAAAAGCGACTGTACGGTACGGTATAATGTATAATATGAGTCCAAATGTACCGGTGTAGATTTGTAACAACACAACTTGCAGCCTAAATGAGGTTGTTCTGGCTGTCCAGTGCTGCCCACACGTGTGCTCAACCCACCAAGAACTGCAGGAAGCCCACAATGGAAGCGCCGGCCACATGCACGCCGCCAAGGCCTGCATCACCCTTATCGCACGGTGAATATCAGGCATCACCAGGCTTGTCCTCGTTGACCGCTCCGCAACCGCGCCGCCGTCGGTGGTGTTGAGAAGCTGTACGCGCGTGTGTGGATGGCCGGTTTGCGGCCGTGGACAGATGGGGCACTCGAGGTGAGGTGGCAGGCGCGCTTGCCTGGGATTGGCACAGCTGACGAACGGTGCTGTAGCTGTGATGGTGTGTGCCATGATTAGCACTTTCATACATGCTGCCATTGAGGCTCTGATGGCAAATCTACCCACTTGCCGCTTGGCTCTTCTGGTGGTCGCACCTCAGACTTTAGGCGAGAAGCTCATGCATGCATCGGCGTGATACGCCTGTACTACTGCATCGTGCACTTTGTCAATCGATGCTGCCTTCTGTGAGCTGAGCTGCTGCTGGTGGGGCTCGCTGGGAAGTTTGTACATTTACACCCTGCAGAAGAAAGTTTTGCACGCCCAGGTGAGGGGATCGACGCCTCGGTGAGGGGGTCGACCAGGTGATAGATAGATGAGGTGACCAGGTGAAAAGAATTGAACAACGCACACGCCTACAACACAACAGCACTCGGCACCAACAGTTCTGGTGCTCCAATGATTGAGGGGGGCTTCACAACAAGAACAGCAGGTGGGAAATCAAGTCGTGCACATTGTAGCATGGAGCAGTGCAGTCAAGTTTGTGGTGGAAAGGTCAGTACCACCTGCTGAATTGCCGGGCAAGCCCGAGAGCCAGCCTATTATGCAGGGAGGCAAGGCAACCAAACTGCCATGTGCAAGCTGTGATCAGAAGGAGCTGTGGGCCCCGCCTTGAACATGAATTGCAGCACCAAATGCAATGGGATATGGAAACAAAAGCATGTGCATTATCAGGTACCAAGAGCACACACCTGGCAGACAGGCACACAGGGGATAACGGTGGGAGGTGCAGACGCCGGCAACCGCCGCCGCCCCCGCTGTCGCCACCGCCGCCGCCGCCTCGCGGCGCACTCAGTAGACCACGTTGGCCTGCTGCTCCGGCGTGAGCAGGTCCACGCTGCCGGTGTCCTTGGGCGCCATGAGGAATATCTGGGCCATCTCCGCCACCATGCGCTCCAGCAGGGGCAGGCGCGCCAGGCTCTGCAGCGGCTTGGGCAGGCCGCCCTTGGCGATGGCGGTGAGCTTGGCGTTGAGTGCCACCAGGCGGTCCATGCGCGTGAAGAACTCGGGGTGCTCCACGTCCGGCACCGCCGGGAACAGGCGCTCGGTGCTCTTGTTGGTCTCGATGATCA